CCCTTTGCACACCATTCTTTGTAAACCCTAGAAATGGATGTGCGTGAAAATCCCAGTAACTGAGCAGATTGTGAAATACTCAGACCGGCCCGTCTGGCACCAACAACCATGCCACGCTCAAATTTGCTTAAATAACCTTTCTTTCCCATTCTGACATTCAGTTTGGAGTTCAGGAGATTGTCTTGACCAGGACCACAACCCTAAATGCATTGAAGCAACTGCCATGTGATTGGTTGATTAGATAATTGTATTAATGAGAAATTGAACAGGTGTTCCTAATAATCCTTTAGGTGAGTGTAAAAGCACAATACTGTACCTATTTGTTTCATTTCAAGTTTAAAGGGAGAGTCAAAAAGTTGCATGGTGTTCTAAATAAAGCAAAGTGATTTAAAATCCACCTCCAGGCCTGTGAAATAACTGCGCATAAACAAACTACAGGAGAAGCCGAGGGAGATGCTTACTTGAAGGAGATGAGGTTAGTGTAGATCAGAGGTGGGATGAAGAAGGTGAGGATGAGTCTCCACATGTCAGTGCTTCTCTCCATATCACCCCACCAGATCTGAGACAGCAGGGCCTTACAGAAAGAAGAAAGGGATAAATTGGAACCTTCTAGAAATTAAAGTTAAAAGCAGCACAGCTTGCGTTCTCTCTCACACACACTCGTCCTGTACTACAGTCCACACCTGCACGCCATCATGGCTGAAGAAGTGGCGGGCGTCAGCCGCCATCGCCATCTGCAGGCAGGTAGCCCCACCCCACGCTGCCGACTTGGCAATGAGTAGCGTGAATGAGCGACTCTCACTGCTCTCGTAGCACTTTCTGAAGATGTCTGTAGAGAGAGATCATGATGGACCCTCTACATCATTCAGATTTAAACAAGTCTCCAATCTGAACAGATAATGTACTTGTAGCTCTCGATCAACATCAAACTGACTTATGTAAATCCAGATTTATGCAAAGAATATGCGAGACATATGAAGTTTACAGGAGTGTTACCTGAAAAATAAATATATTTACATATTGCTGGTATATTTTTCAGTTATATATTTTTAATAAGGTGTCTTGAATTTTATGGGGAGTAAATCTTATTTACATGAAATATATGTCTCTCACACCCCAGTATTGTATATTTCTGATTATACTACGGGACCGTTGAATGCTTGAATCTGATTGGCTGACGAACGTTCTGAGGTGTGCAATTATTTTCAGGGAAACGCACGGCGAACGTAGTTCCAGGCAGCTCTCTTGACCGCATTACAGTTCCATATCACTTCGCATAGTTAACTGTAATAACGGAAATTAGCATACAGTACCTATACAGCACACAGGACTAACAAAAACAACAACATGACAGACGATTTTCCGAAAGTAAATTTTAATATTTACGGTGAATATGAAACTTTCAACAACTGGGCTGCAGCAGTATTAGACAGTTCAGATGAAAAACAACATAAACGGAAGCGGACATCAAAGGCAGCCGGCAACAACAAAAGACATAAAACGATCAGCGAAGAACAGCTAGACATACTCGAGGGAGAAAAACACGAAGAAAACACCAAAAAAACAACAGCTAATGACGTTTTGGAACTAGCAAAAGAGTCGTTGGATGAGATGCGGAAGAAATAATCCTACTCACAATAGCGATTTAAGTAGAAAAACCGGACGAATCCCTTGAAATATATCATCTGATCGATGTCTTGAGGTGTGGCAACCGTAGTATAAGCGGAATAATTGACTCCGGACCGTTGAATTATTAGAAAAATAATGCACACCCGAGGTGCATCACCACCTCGGGTGTGCATTATTTTTCTAATAATTCATCGGCCCGTCGTCAATTATTCCTTACTTAAACCATAGTTTTGGACTTCTAAACAGTTGCATTTTATTGACTCTCATTCACTTGACATATCCTGGACAGAGTCTGGGGGTCTGGAGCCTATGCCAGTCCATCACAGGGCACAAGGCTGGGGTACACCCTGGATGGGATGCCAGTCCACCACAAGACAGAAAGAGGGCACACACGCGTGCGCACACACACACACACACACACACACACACACACAAAGCAGAGGTAAGATGTGAACCCATAACCCTGGAGGTGTGAGCCATCCTGCAACCTTAGTTCCTGAAAATACCTTTAAGTACACTGTAAATGATGCATACAAATACTTTTTGTACCAGTGTAACAGACACATTGCAATTTCCCATCCACTCACCATGTGCCAGGTTCTCAAACCTCTGTGCCAGCTCTTTCATGGAGAGCTGAGCCTCTGTCTCGTCCTCCAGCTTGGAGAGCTCCCTCAGGATCTTACACCCACTCAGGGCAGTGAGCACTGACTCTTCTGCCTGAGGGAAACAAGGAGCCCAGATGAGGAGCCAGAGGAGGCAGCTTCAATAATGAAGATGATCTGCACTCCAATATCAATGCTACCAATGACTGTGCGCTTAATGTTTCAACCATGTCAGTGTCACTAATAAAAAAACAAGTTACTATATGGAATATTAATTTCTTCATATTTCTACACCAGTATCTAATGGAAAGGGATCTAACATTTTTGCAGAACAGGTAAAATCCTGCACCTGTGCTTTTTCAGAAAACAAACACTGTCACCACACGATGTTACTGCACATCCATATTTAGATTCTGATTAATGATCATCCATCATATTGTAGACGCGCCGCGCAGCCCGTATGTCATGCGAGCAGAGTTACCATCTCCCAGAAAAAGGAAGCCATTTCTCCGCGGTTCTGCAGGACAGCCCACATGAAGAGAGCAAGCCAGGGAGACTGGCAGCGCTGTTCCCGGTAGGCACATGTGCCCTGCAACAGTCTGCTAACGCTCTGACAGACACCAACCAAAATATTCCATTACAATGCATGCAAGATAATAGCACAGGTCTGTCAATCAAAGCCTGTATTTCTTTGAAGCACAATAAAAACTAAGTGACAATATTTTATTTTAACTTTTGACTTAACTCCTTAAAGCACAAAGATTTTAATTGTCATTATTCACAGGTGTGCCCCAAAGAGGTTAGAAACAAGCCCTAATTCAAGCACAAAAAGCACAATTTAAGCATTAAATATTGATAAGCAGAATGAAAAGGCATCTCTAAGAAAACAAAAAAAACATAAAAATGCATCACTTCCATTATGCAACTGAGAATAATTAAAACCACAAATAAAATAACAACAAGAAGGACAAAGAAAGAGAGCAAGAGACAGTGAGAGGGTGAGAGAGGGTTGGATTAGGTTCCAGGTTGTTGTACCTTGACAGCCCTTCTTGAGCTGGTGTTTTGCCCGAGTTCCAAAGGCTGATAGTAAAATGGCTGACACACGTCCCCTAATATGTCCCATAAGACCCGAGACACCTAAGAGGGGATTCATTACTCAACTATCACAACAAAACACATTACATACTCGATACCTCTCATTGTATTTCATTACATTAACTACAATCTCACTCCATAAGATGTTTTCATGCTTTTATCAAATACATCCATTATGTTTCCCTTCTCTCAGGTTTCTATGACAACAGATCATGTTCAATGTTACATTCTCCCCACTTCTACTCCTGCATTCTCCATCAATCTATTTCTACATTCTCCCCACTTCTATTCCAGCATTCCCCTCACTGATATTCCTGTATTCTCCACCCATCTCTTCTTACATTCTTCCCCACCCTCTCGAGTCTGACCCACACCTTCTCCTCTCCTTCATAGTAACTCAACAGAAGATGCATCTCCTCAAACTACTACAGCTAGTCATGGGTATGAATTGCCTATCGACATCAGCAGAGTTTGGCATTCCTGTGTATCTCTTTCGTCTAACCAGATTCTGACCTCGTACAAACTGAGATCTTTGATGGAGCGAGGTCCACACTGGGGGTTCTCCATACCCTGGGCGGAGGGCTTGCTGGAGTAGGGCACAAAGCCACCAGCAGACTGACGCTCACTCAGACGGCGCTGCAGCTGCACATAAAGCACTGAGCTGTCCGGCACGGAATGGTACAGGGCCTCCAAGCGGCCGTACGTCAGGTACTCCAGGATGTTCAGGCCGTTCTCCATGAAGAGCCGTACAAACTGCGGCTTATCATTCACCAGGGCATCTGTAAAGGAATCTTCCAGGTCTTCATACTAATGACATGAAGGTGATCACAGAGAACATTAAATTCAAATACACGCTTTGAGAGACTGACAGCATAATACTAGCACAGACAATGGATTCTATGCTAAAAGTAGAAAGCTAGTGCTGACAAAAATGACAAGAGATAAAGTGCTGTAGAAAATTATAGCTACTTTATGAGAACCTCATATTCATTTGTTCTTTCTCCAGTTTAAAGTGTTTTAAGAAATGTTTGGTGTTTATTAGAATGGCTTTACTGTTTTCTATATGTTGTACGTTTTATGTTTTTTCTTTTTGCCATTTTATTTTGTTTTATACTTTTTGTTATTTTGGGTTTATTCATAATTTTATTGTAAATCACTTTGGTCAGTTTTTATTGTTTTTAAGAATAAATTAGGGTCATGACCTGATTTGTCATACACAGGCAGCTCACTACTGATGCAAGTAATCCATTCCACAAATCCTTACGCAAATCAGATTTTACACAAGTCAGATTTACCTTCCCATACCATTCAAGACACTTTTATGGCAAAAATCATGCAAGCCAAAAATATGCTAGTAACAGGTACTACAGAATACAAATAAAGGAAAATATTATAAGTGTAAACTTACTTACATGCGTATGTTGCCTTTTTGCATTAGCACTTCAATAAACTCTATCCGTGATTCTTTTTTGCTTAAATCCGGATTTACTTAAGTCAGTTTTACCTATGAGCTGCCTGTATACTAACATTACCTTTAAATAGAGGATACATAGACAGATTTATCTAATTAGACCTATTCAGTATTATAGTCTCTTCTCAAATACAGAGCACTTTCCCTTTGTGTGCTTGGTGTATAAACATTACCTTCCACTGTATATCCCCGTTGAAGAGCTCACTCTTGGCAATGTCCACTCTGTTCCAGGCCACAGCCAGCTTCAGCTCCTCCGTATGTGGGCTGGCACCGTGGGAGCCTCTGTTCTTGCGAGCTAGAGGGAACAGCAACGATAAACCTGTCACACGGCCCTTTTGCTGGCAAGCCGGCAGATTTTCAGAAAAAACCCTGAAGAAGTCCAGGTTGGCAGAGAGGGCCAGCAGATAGCCCGAAGTCCAGGGCTTCTCTTTGAAGAAGGGCCCTGCTCGGATACCTCTGACAAGGACTCTGAGCAGCACTGTATCAAAGTCGTCCGGTCCGTCCTGCTCCCCATGGTACACAGTGATCAGCTCCCTGTTCAGATATATACTGAGAGCCTGGGGGAACAGAGAGTTGGAAGGGGAGCAACAGAACACAGAGATCTCACCCTTCACTTCAAGGCTGAATGATAAACCAGATGTAATAAGATAAAAAGCAGCAAATACAACCACATCTGAACTTCAGGACCATGACAAAGCAGTCAGGCTATGTTATCAGTCCAGCATTTTGTTTCACAGAGAAAGCAAACAGACCCTTTCAGTCAGCTTCTCCATGTTGCTCTCTTCGTCTGAAGGAAAGTGCTTCTTCACTAGATCTCCAACCTGATCCCTCAGCTCGGGGCTGGCTGGCGCTGCCTGCATTTCACTGGCTGCCGAGGCCAGTTTCCCAAGCATCTCGCAGATAAGATCGGCCACGCCGCCCGATCCCGCAAGGACCAACCAGGGCCCAGATTTCCGGAGGGACAGGTCTACTCGCTGAGAAACATGGGGTTACTGTTTGGCATCCACTGGAATTCAAGCACCCATTTCAGTCCGGCAAACCTTACCTCCAGCAAGGCTGAATCCCCTCCAACCAGCATACACAGGACTGGGATCTCAATGCTTCCACTCCCTGGCAGAGGAGTAGAGACATCGTTAGTTTCACAGCAAAATTTCACTTCTTCTCAAAATAGCTAAGAAATGAGACCTAGAGCACTCCTAAGGGGCTCAGCAGCGAGAACAGTCATCTCTGGCATAAGAGAGATCTGTTATTTTGTTTACTTAGCTGCAGAGCAAACTGTATTTATATTCTACTTATTGACTCAGATAACATTTATTCAAAATGTTTTCATCATATATAGATAAACTTTTTAATCATATACTTTTTCTTGTATATTTTCCAGATAACTGGACAAATTATGGTTTAATATCTAAACTGGATTAGATTTTTTGAAGTGTATAAAGACTGATCAAACATTTGAAAAAAGTATAATGTATTCCTCTTGTTGCATCACATTTATCACAATGTTAATATTAATACATCACATTTCATACTAAGGAACATCATTACTGTAATTACAAAACACATTAATATTAAAATAATACTCACAAATAAAGCAGAAAAATCAGTGCAACCACAGCGCTGATTGCATAAGTAGTTAGTTGTGCAATATTTAACTTTAGACACAAGGTGGCACTGTGCAACTCTAAGAGTCATTGCTCCCATGCATAACTAACAGTGTGAGCGAAGGAATTCATAATCATATATCAGGGAAACAGCATAAACATAAACACAAACCACAGGAAGCAAATTTAGTCTTGCATAATTGCTACTTAAATATTACCTAACAGTAGATTATGTGGCCTAAATTTTGGCCTAAACTTTTCCCTGAAGCCTCTCACCCAAAATGCCAGTCCTCTGATGAGAGATGTGGTCCTCCAAAGAGACCCTGAAGCCAGTTTCACCCCCCCTGCGGCCCACACTTCCGTCGTCCACTAGGAGGAAGGCCTCATAGTTGTGGTCCAGGCTGTGAGAGTCGTGTGACGTGTTCTGCACGTAGTACCTGGCCGGGAAGCTGCCCTGAGAGACAGCAGCGGAGATGACGGGGAGGCCTCTCAGCCGACGTGGCCGTGTGCATCGAGCATCATGCCGTGTGTGAGGCCAGGCGCCAGGCGGCTGTGCTACCTTCGGGTTCACCAGCTGCTGCCGGTTCAGCACGAGGCCCCAGGGTGCTATGCCCAGAGCAATGACCTTGGAATGAGAGAGAGAGGCGGCAGCCGCTCTGTGGTCCCTCACTGCCTCCCCAATGCACCTTGTCAGCCCCTCTCGTAATCCCCCCGTGATAATCCATGCCCCTGAGAACAACAGTGAGGGATAAAATGACAGTTCTTTTATAGTCTTCAACAACCAACAGAAATAGACAGAATCCCTATTTATTTAAGACGGAGACAAAGAATTTGACCAGATTTCAAGATCGTTCAATAATTCGGGGTTTAAGAAGTGGCTGATTTCCTTTGTTAAAAGGAACCTGTTACAGTCTGGAGCAAGATAAGGGAGGCCAGCATCTTAACAGCCAGAAATAGTGGCACTCGAAGTCTCCCTGGCCCTGCCAAGCTGGGCGCACAGCGGAAACCCCCACTGCGAGCTAATTTAGCCACGGCCCCCAGGAGCGACGCTGGAGCCCTGCCACCGCGCACAAGCCTTCTCATCACTCGCAGGAGGGGATTGTTTACGTGAGCGATGCTGCTAAAATCACTTCCTGTTGGTATGGCTCAATCTGCCAAGCTAAGAAGACAGCTCAACAACAGCTCGACACGCTGGAACACACAAAGCACTTGTCACGTGGGCCATATCAGTATACAGACACACACAGAGCCTCAGAAGGCACAGAAACAGGCAAGATGAAGGTTATGGAGTCACCTGTGCTCTGTGCAACCCTCACCAGCCCCCGCCTGAGCACCTCTCGGATCCAGCTCTTCACCTTCACCCTGCCCTCTCCGCCCACCAAGGACAAGACCAGATTGGGCACTGGCAAACCCCAGTGGGCGGTCATCAGGGTGTACACGATGCCTGGGGGCGTGTCACAGGACAAGCGCAGGAACTGGGAGGGAAAGACGTGGATGGAGGCGAGGCTTTAGCAAACTGGTGGCTCTCAGGCTAAGGCCACGCTGTAGCTGTGCAGGAATGTATGACTATGGCTGCATGCAGTGACTGACACACCTGCATGAACAGGTCATCGCACACCAGAGGTTAGTGGTTCACACTCAGATGAGAGCGATCTGTTACTAAAAGAAGGGAGAAGTTTTATACACTTCCCTGTAAAAAAACAAGGCCCTGTCTCAATCAAACCTGTACCTCAAATCCACACTATAACAAAGGAAAATAATTTGCTTTTAATTTTCAAAGGTTCTATGACAATGTGTTCTGCAAACATGCATGTACAGTCATGTGCCACCTGCTTTCAGTTCAATGTTTTTACATATCAGGACATTTAAAAATAATAAAGATTATCGGTCCTTACCAGGTTTAAAATTATTTTATTTACAAATTTAATTTAGGTGTGAAATAACATGCAACACATTCCTATATGTCATTATTTAGCAAAAATGAAGCCAAAATGGAGACGCCGTGGTGAAAAATTAAGTACACCTCATGAATCCATAGCTTGTAGAACCACCTTTAGCAGCAATAACTTAAAGTTGTACAGGAAATGATTACTGCATCAGCCTCTCACATTGTGGGGGAGGAATTTTGGCCCACTCTTCTTTACGACATTGCTTCAGTGCTTCAGTTCATTAAGGTTTGCAGGCATTCATTTATACACAGCTCTGTTAAGGTCCTGCCAAAGCATTTCAATCGTGTTGAGGTCTGGACTTTGTTTGATTGGGCCATTGCAACACCT